ATACCCATATGATTTGGTCAACATGTTTCATCCCCAGCATACTCCCATCGGATTGAAAGCTCGGTGGCCAAAAAAAGCCAGCCAGCAGTTGGGTGGAATGGAGTCATACATGTTCTTGCCCATGGGTTCCCTGGCACCACGCTGCATCCGGCCAAGGCCAAGGAACACAACTCCATGCGCTTCACCATGTTCAGGCAGGAATCCGGGCCTCAAGAAAGTGGGCAAGATGCCGTGATGGTGTCTTTTTCTGGCGCCGTGATGGTGCCATGAAATAGATAAGATGCCGTGATGGTGTCTTATACTGGGATGTATATAACTCCTAATCTATTAAAGTTATATAGATATATCTGTTAACTATGGTTTACGCTAGATAACAATCTATTATTAATGGGGGTTATAAACCTGGTTTCTCATGGTGCCATGAAATTGATAAGATGCCGTGATGGTGTCTTTTACTGGCGCCGTGATGGTGCCATGAAATTGATAAGGTAAGATGCCATGGGGGAATCCCAGAGATGGTGTCCTCAAACTTCCATGGCACCCCCACATGTGACTGTTTCATCCAGGGACGAACATGTTTTGTGGGGGTTGGCACTTCACTAAACAATCAGTAGCAGTATGGATAGTTTTAGGTGGGGTCCAAGACTATGAGACAAAATGTGCTTCATCGATGTCAGATGGTAAGAGTTGGAAAACCTATTGAAGACTTTGGATGTTCTTTCTGGTGTTTGCTACCTTTGAACCTGGGAGCTTTCAAGCCCAAAAGAACATGGCTCAAGAACCAAGATTTTGTTTGGCCATAATCATGTAAAGCCCAGGGGGTGGAAACTCCATCCTGACAGCGTGCGCCGCTGAGGTCTGGACTTGGTGGATATCTCAATCTTCACTGCTGCATGACACTGTCACAGCATCATGAATGCATGACGCCATCACGGCATTAATGTTGTGACACCATTAACGCATCACTTTTTTGACACCAGTAAGGCATCAATTTTGTGACACCATTAAGGCAACACTTCTTTGACACCATTAAGGCATCACTTCTTTGACACCATTTAGGCATCTCTTTTGTGACACCAATGAGGCATCACTGATTTGACACCATTAAGGCAACACTTCTTTGACACCATTAAGGTATCACTTCTTTGACACCATTTAGGCATCTCTTTTGTGACACCATTGAGGCATCACTGATTTGAGACCACTCAGGCATCATTATGGCACCATGAAGGCATCATTTTTGCGACACCATTGAGGTATCACTTATTTGACACCACTGAGGCATCATTATGACACCATTAAGGCATCATTTTTTGACTGAGGCTGAGGCATAGTCGTAGTCGTCGTCGTAGTCTCATGACACTGTTAAGATTTTTTGACAGATACTATTAAGGCGCCATTTTTTGACACCATGAACATGTTGTAGTTATCAGGCATCAACTTGTGACATCATTAAAACACTGCTTCTTTATCACAGTGTCAACTCATTCCCTTTGAACCCTTGAACCTTGCAGGTCTTAGGATTTTGGTAGCATGGTGGAAATAGTAAAATATTAAGCCGGTAAAACACATGGGTTGGGTGTAACTTGCCAGCCCTGACCACGTGCATTTTGGTAAAGGTGCATTTTGGGGCAATGTTGTATGAAGGCACAAAAACAAAACACTAACCCTTAAGTTAGAAAGAAAACAATGTGAAAAAAAAACACAATTTCCTTTGAAAGGGGTCCTTGGGGTGAAAGGCGCCCAGGACCCCATTGACCCTGAGGACCCCTTTCAAGGGAAATCTTGTTAAAAATGGTGAGCAAGTAAAAACGTTTTGGTTTGAAATTCAAAGCCAAATTTGAGGCTCTTTTGTAAAAATTCAAAGACCTTTTACAACAACAAAGGCTTTCTGATGGGAGTCCAGCCGTCCCGAAGAACTGTCTCCAAGAACGTCATTGCCAGTGAAACCAGATCGTGTGTGAGATGACAACTTGTCCGAGGGCAAACCAGATTTTGTATGAGTAGACAACTTGTCCAACTTACTGCTGTTAAGTGCCCCAGTACCCTGGGGGGAAGATACACTGCTGACAGAAGCCTCCGACACCTTTGAAGCTGAAACCTGCAAAGAGGGGGACTCCCCCAATCGTTGCCTCTTGCATGAAATTTCCCCTGCATTTGATGACCTCTTCAGACCTTTCTTTCCAGATTTATTCGAACCAAGGCCCCTACCGAAGGATGCAACAGCATTGAGAATCAATCTGGCCAGAAATTCACACATCCCTGGAGGGTATGCCGCACTGGGGCTTGTATTCCAGCGCGACCCAGTCTTTCCAATGAGTTTGTGTGTATGGCTGTGTCCGCACTTATGCGGCAGTGGACCCTTGTAAAAACCAAATTTGTCGAACTTTGGCAACGACATAAAACACCTATTGTCCTGAACCTCCATATTTGTAAGCAACCGTGTAGGTTTGGGCGTTAAGGCCCCAAACTTGCATTGATGTATCGCGAAGCATGATGCAGACCACTTCGGAATTAAGTCAAGAACTTCTTGCCACTGCCAAATGGAACCAGGTTGCTCTCCCTGAACTGTGCCTAGATCCTCAGGATGCTCCAAAATGAAAAATCCCTCTGAAGATGCAGCGCAATCACAAGCCTCTAAACACTTCTCCACGAAAAAATTTGCCTCAGAAACTTTCTGTTTGTGAATCTTCGAAAGCCAAGGAAAACCCTTGGGCCAGGCCTTTGTACGCAAAGGTTTGGGACCTGGAAAACTTCGATGTTGGAATCTGGCCCGTGAGAAAGTATTGCACGGCGGGGAAACAATGATGCACCATCCTCCCTGTTTCAGGGTTTCAAGAATTTCATCCCAAAGTGAAATGTCAGTGAGATCATGATTCGGAGACCGCTCAATGTCGAACTCTTTGATCAACAACCTGATGTGACCTTTGGCCTCTGCTTGTCTAAGAAAAGCAGCAACATCAGAATGGCGTTTCCGCCCAGCAAAAAGGTACATAACCTTCACTAAAGGTGGTTCCACTGAAGGTTGCTCAACATTTGGCTGAAGCGGTGTGGAAGTGCTGGGTTCTGCCACACCTGAAGGCTGTCACGAACTCTGCTTCTGCTTGTGCTTCACTGCTTGGTGGTCTGCGTAGCAACCCTTAACACGACACTGATGAACTCTGTTGCAAGAACCATCGCAATCACCAGTATTCCAAGCAAAGCACAACTCTCTCCCGTCTGGCGTCCTCCAAGCTAGATTCAAGCCCTTCAGACGGGAATCAGAAACACCAGAAGGTTTTGATTTCTGTTTTCCTTTTCCCTTTCCTTTCGAAAAATTCTGAAATGACTTGCCACTGAAGCTCCCTTTCGAATTGAAACGTTGGAACTTGTTGGGAGGATTGTCATAAGCCGCAGACTTCAACGCCACTGGCGTAGTGAAATAAGCCTCCTTAAGGTCAGCGTCCTTGATCACTGATGAAAGAGCGTCTGACAAGGTGTGGCCTTCCATAACACGTTTCATTGCCTCCTTACGGAGCCTCTGCTCAAAGGACAAGACAATTGCCTAGTCAGGTCTGATCTTCTGTTGTCCCCCGTCTGCTGTTGGAATCTGTATCCCATACACCCTATCCCCCAAAATAAACTCCACAAATTTCAAGAAGGGTGCTGCAGTGAGTCCATTGAGCCAGTGCTTGGCCTTGTACCTTGAGGCCATGGCCAACCAAGAAAACATCTCCACCTTCATAACTCTGCGATACTCCTCAGTGGTGGCAGGCATTTTCGCCTTGGTCTTCGTGCGAGTGACACGGATGTGTCCTGAACCATCAACTGAAGATTGAATCAAAGAACTCGAAGAAGCAAGCTTACTCAGAATCTCATCCAAAGGAGCTGCAGTGGGCTCGTTAGCCTCAGTCTCCTCTGCCTTCAAACTCAGGTAATCTGCAGAAGGGCATTCAGCATCGCTCAAAGTGCCGTGAATGGTTTCTACAGCTTTCAACATTGCTTGTCTCTCATGTATCTGAAGAATCCTAGGTTGACCAAGAACCTTCGCCTCAGCTTTGAGCTCAACCTCTTTAGCCAGATACTCTTTAGAGGTCTCCCATGCAGAAACGATGGCAGCAATCTGAGATCTGTTCTCTGGGGAGTCTGCAGGCAATGCGAAGTCTTGCAAACATGCAGTCCTGATGGCCGCCCTGTCATCGCCCAGAGCTGTAAATTTCCTGAGCGACCCATAGTGCCTTGCAATCGACACCTGATGCAACTGAGAAACTCCAGAATCACCCAAAATAAACTGCAAGTCTGAATCCATGTTGGCATGTATGAACTCCCTCTGCTCTTGCGGGTCCATTGCAACGAGGTCAAATCCTACGTGCAAATAACCGCAAATGCGAACAAACTCCAAAATGGCACATCAATTGAATTGCAGTCCTGAAACAAGTTGAGAACAAGATCAAAGCCACGAACAATGGAAAAGAAATCAAAGCTATGACGAGAGAAACATGAAAACACTTCAAGCACAATCCCAATCATGCGAACATCAGTGCAATGTAAAAACTGTCTTGTCTAGATGGCACCCTTAGGTCTGAGCCATCGAGCAACACATGAACTCTCAGTGAAGCTCCAAACATCCGTCTCAACGGAATGTGAACTGAATTGCACTTGCAAATAACATACTCTGACATGTTGCAGCAAACTTGAATCTGAAAACCAGTTCAAATTGTTAAATCTCCACTTCGGCCGGCCCAAGAAACCGACCCCCCCAAGTGCACAAAAACCCAAGGAAAAACACCTCGTTTTGGAGACTTCGTGGGGTCCATTTTCACCAGTGGAAAATTGCCAGTTCAAATCTGAGATGTGAAATGGATTGCACTTGCAATCAAGACAACCACACTGAAACCCAGGAACAGCAAGCAAAAGCCAGAAAATCACCTACATCAAAAAACCTGTGGCCTGTCAAAACCCTTGGAGAAAAATTCAATGAGGTGAAAAGGAGATGAGCGCTGCGCTCACTCAATTTTCCCCGGAAGAGGTCGCAACTGCGATCACCCTAGCGGCTCGTTGCCACTGCTGGCAACAGACTCCGTTGAAGACGAAGATGCCGTCGAGGACGACAGCTCGCCCCCATCTTTGCCACTTTCGGCCAACATCTTTCTGCGGCACGCCTGGCAAATGGCATCGAAATCATCTTGGCCGACCACATCTAAATGGATGACCTCGCAACACCGATCTGGGCGTACAAAACACCCGGTGAGATGGAGCCTCTTGAGACCAGCACGCCTCGACACCGTGATGAAGAACTTCGAGGGTCCAGACTGCACCATCGACTCCTTGAGGCTCTGAGCTGCAATCTGTCCAGCAATCGCCTCCTCGGTCTCGCCGTGTGTGTCGGGGTCCCAATCCCCCGGCATGACTTCCAAGGTTGGGTAAACACCGCCCAGTGAGACCTTTTCCAAATAGGGGACCAACACCGTGTGCCTCTTCTTGTTCGCTCCGGACTCAGCTGCAAAGTCAGCCAACCTGTCGATGTTCTCATCCTCATGGAATGGGACAGCGCTCCTTCAACCAAAGCTCGGTTGACCTCCCGTTGGATCTTGAAGACCACCTGACGAGAAGTCCTGACGTACTCCTCTGATGAGACCATTCCCATGCTCCAACGCCCAAGGTAGGCTCGCTCATCCTTGTGGAAGCCAAGTGCTGCTGCCACTGAGGTCAAGTAATTCCTCGGGCTATGGCCAGAAAAGAAGGTCTCCAACCCATCTGGGAGTAGGAGGCTGGCCTGCATGAGCTCCCAGCCCACGGCAGTGCGCCTTGGGCAACAAAGGGACCCAAGTAGCTTCCCAATTGCAGCGCTCAATCCAGAAGGTGTCAAGAACTTCCTCTTGACCCCAGTCCAATCCTTGTTGGGCTCCATGACAAGATAGTCCCTCCGAAAGCCGAAAGGGTTCCCCATCCAAAGCTCATGACCGGCTCTCAACCAGTCTTCACCAGTCAGTGAAACAGTCCGGAAAATGTGGACAGAAACCTCCTTCTGCGCCTTGTCTGGTCCAGTAGTCTTGGATTTGCCAAGCACCATCCTCAACCCGTAATTTGAAAGGACTGTGCGGCTTGGCAGCACTGCTTGTACATCATCGCATCTCATAGCTCCCCAAATCATGCAGAGCACCACCCAACTCAAAGCCCTGACAAACAAGGGCTCTGTCTCGCAAACCACTGTGAGCTCCAAGGACAGCACCATTGCAGTCGTGTACATCTCTGCTGGTTTGCGTGGGGGAGCATCTTCAGAAAGTTCTGCACTCCATGACTTGACATGCCCCAGCCAAAGGGGATCTTCTGAGATCTTGGAACCCTCCGGGACACGCCCCAAGCTCTCAATCAAAGCCAGGGCAGTGTGGAGAGCCTGCGGCACAGTCCTGCCGCATCCGTCATCGACCCTGTGCTGCATGTAGTCAATGACATCCTTGACCCCTCTGGGAAAGAGGTAACCTCTATGCCACTCCAGCCACATCTCGAATGGCCTCCAGACCTTGTACCTGTTCTTCAAAGTGTTGCCTCTCCGAGCTGCGAAAATGTGCAGCCAGCCAGCTTCTGGATCGTCCAAGGTCTTGACAAGCTGTACAATCGGAAGATCGGCTTGGATGATGACTTGAGATAGAAGCCTTGCATACTTGCGACGCTCTGCATCGAAACGACGGGCTCTTGCATCAGCAGGGTCCTCCCGATGCTTCTTCTGCTTCCGCTTGATGTGCATCTCAAGAATGCAAATGGAACTGGTCTGTGTCAACCGGTTGTACTCATCCTGAACTGAAGCCTGGCCAGGAAAAGGAAGACGAAACAAAACCTGATGTGCCAGCTCTTTCCGAGTGCGCTTGAAAGGACGCTCCATGGACTCTTTCCAAATTCCTATCTGTGCTACAGTGTTAACCAAATCTTCACCTACCATGTCTGGAAACTCTGCTGCAACCAGTTGCAAACACTCTTCATCAGAATCAAATGCTGCATCCAAGCGCAGCGGGGTTCTGTAGACCCTCTGAAGGTGGGCCCTCACACCATCGGCCACCAATGGCCACTCGTCTCCCATGGCAAATCTAAAATGGCCCGGGTCCAACCATCTGTTGGAAAGGCGGAGCGCCCCAACTACTTTTCAAAACATCCTCTTCCAAGCCAGTGCTCAAGTGAATATCCAATAAACGAGATTCCAACTGAAAGTGCATGAGTTCACAAATTGACATGTAAGCTGAATCTGATAGACCACGTGGAGCATGGAAAGTTTGACATCGGAAAACATTCAAAGAAGGAATCAAACCAAACAGCAAAAGATTCTGAAATCGCCAACTGTTGAACTGTAAAGATCTGACATGACAGCAGCAGATTCTGAAATGCGTTGCCAAACTCGAAACATTGAAATAAACATCGAACTGTCTTGCATTGTAAAAGCATCACTGAAATAAAGTGCCAGCAAACGAAATCTGTAACTTCGAGTGATCTCCCGTCTCAGGCAAGAGGTCCCCAAACTGGAAGTGCCAGGTAGACAAGCAGTAAGGAGTGCGCATGAAGTTCTGGACCACCAACAACCCCACCAACCACCCGACCAACACAGGGTTCCGTATAGACACATTGGGCAAGCCCAATGATGCACAAATAAGACAATTAACGCAGTTCGGCTTCGAAAATTATAGTCTGCTTGACGGCTGCCCCATCATGTCCCAAGGCGCTCAATTCTTTTGAAATCAGAAGATCGTGAACTTTGGAGGATTGGCTCAAATCCCCGTTGCTTCTTTGGGTGCATTTTGCACCGGTGTGCTGTGAAAAAGCGCCGTGCACAGATCTGTAATCAGATCCAACGCTTCATCAAAATTCCTACAGAACTACGCAGGCAGACGCGTACGTCAACCACGCACACCGAACACAAGCGCAGCGCGTGTAGTCACAAACCTAATTACACTAAAGCACTGTTGTGTCAAGAAAACTGTTCCACCCTCGACTCTCACATGCTGACGTCGGACTCCTTCTTTTCGCTCCAGACGCAACACGATCAGTCACAGGGAAACACAAACACAACAAACAAACAAAACAAACCAAAGAACGAAGAAAGATAAAGTGTTCCCTCTGTCGGCCTGTCTTATGTCAAGTTAAGTGACACAGCAGCTTCTGTTCATTAAATGAACTTCTGACACCACTCCCTTGAGCCGATGTCTCAACTGGTAAACTCGATTCTAGGTTTCCAGTTAACAAACCTCAGTTTCTTCAAATAAAGGTTTGTTGAAACAATTCCAGCTGCTACAAGTTCACTTTTCATTAAGTGAATTCAAAAGATAGAAACACTTCCGAAAGTTCTCAAAGCAAACTGGCTCTCATCTAAACGTGAATAACCAGCCAGCTAACTAACGTTACCCGCTAGCTTCTCAAGAACGAAGTGATTCACACAAGGTATCTGTACAACCTTCTTCTGAATGCAAAACGTAGTTGGAACACAACGTTCCATCTCCAAATCAGATTTCCACATAGAGATAGCATCTCACAGCTTCAAACCTCAATGTAGAATAGAATGTTCTGTTCGACATTGTCAATGTAGGTCAGCCAAATACAGTTGTATCGCTGAAGTCTTTCGACCACTGTAATAGCCAATCTACAATGTAAACCAAAGTCGTGTTGTCCTTCCGCGAGCAATGATCAAAGTTGTCTCAAAACAATGTCATCCTCATAGAGATAACCAAAGTTGTCTCAAGGAACGATAAAACGGGATCTTATGTTGTGCGATCCGTAGGTCACGATGACGATGATGTAGGTATTGTCCTCACAATACCGAAACATCTCATCACACAAACTCTTCAGACAAATAAGATGTGTCAATGTGGTCATTGTCCTCACAATGCCAATACATCTTGTTGTCTAGAATTCAAAGTATAATAGATTCTCTCCATCAGATATTTACAGCTAACTTAAACTCTTCTCCAAGAGTTTCCAGCTGCGTTCTCATCACTTGGAGAGAATAGACTTCTCAGTGTCGAAGACACAATACAAAACCTCAATGTCAAGCCAATGTAGGTATCTTCAGCGCACGCAATAAGCTGTACCAGACTCAAGCAGAATCCAGAATAAAATGTAGAACTGATCAATACACCACATTCCTGGTCAACATCGATCACTGACATCTCAATATGTCATAAAAGCTTGTAGGTTCAAGACCAATAGAATATTGTGACCAAACTGCAGGTCAACTGCACAGATCTCTTCAACAACAACAAGCTGATTGTTGTCTACCAATCTTCCGTGCATACAACTGTACAATGATGAAGAATGACATGTCGCTTCACCCTTACCCATAGGGTGCTCCCACAGGGTGCTAAATTTCCATACCCCCTTTCGACATGGCATCTCATCCACTCATATTGCTACACTGTACGGATTGAACACCCGTAAAGAGTTCATGGTTCTAGATCACATCCGTGATCAAAAGATAGTGAAAGACGAACACGTCTTCCAAAACACAAGATAGATGATGAATCATCATCCAAATCTCATCTCGCTCGACTCATGCACAATATCGTAAGCTCCAAACTCAAAACTCTTCCGTTCGAAAACGAAGGAAAAATGCGCGTAACTTCAATCCTGACGATCTTCATGACATATACTGTTGTAAGCACAAATCCTCGTAACCAGATGTAGGAATAGCAAACTCAGTCCAAAACTTGAAAGTCTTTCCAGTACCAAATTCGTCGTCCTACTTCCAGCTCTTCGGATAAACCATGGCGTCGATAACGATATATTTACAGTACTATTGTCATTCTACAACAAACAAAACAACACAACAAAACAGAACAAAACAAACACACACGAGACCCAAGACGAAGACCAACGTCGCACGATCGGAGTCAACGTGAAAACAAAGGCCAACTGTTTCAGCTAATCCGCACCTTCGCGAAGAAGGTAGGCGTATGAAAAGAAAGCGAAAGTGAAATAATATCACTCATGTAACTCATCTCAAATTCAAGACTTCTGCAAAGTGATGTTCACAGTCACTGCATAACGAATTCAAAACACTCTGAATGAAAATCGTTCACAGCTAGGGTTCAGACTAGCTAAGATCGGCACAAAGATCGCTGTCCCCCTTTAAACGTCTGATCCATCCTAATGATCTCGAAGGTGTGATATATCTTGTTCAAGTCTCATATCATGACATGAAAGCGCAATGTTTCTACAATCATGGCATCAGACTTCCTGGAAGATTCTCCAAGTCAGTTAGACTCAGATTCCGTCTGAGTTTCTTCCCAGGTTCTCATCATTTGCCATGACAACTCAATTGCAACATATGTACATGACCGCATTCCGAAAGCGAAAGTCAAGAACTAAGGCGTTAAGACATGAACATACCAATTCAAACCATGTCCAACAACACTACCAAGTCAAATCAAAACAACATCAACTTTTCTTCATGATGTCTCCCTCAGATCTGTTAGCAACTCCAAATTCTGAATGCCTTCAAGAACGTTGCTCTCGCCATCGTCATTGAGAGACCCATGAAAACTCTGAATACCTTCAACCTACTAACAACATGCAAACACGTTTGGAAAGCATCCGCTTTCACTCAAGACACAACGTAGGCTTTGCAATGATTTCAGAGTCTTCCGTTTCAAGACAATTCAGTTCCAAGTTGTCTCACTCGGCATAGCCCCCTTTTAAACTCGCGCTTGAACTTTGAACTCAGGCTGCACTATGTGCACAGATGCTCGCAGCATGTCATCCTGCCAAAAGAAACGAGTGAACCTCGAGCCGGTCACACCGCTCCAAAGAGGAGAAAAGATAACCGACTATTCTCTCGCTCTTGCAAGAAGTGACTCTGGATGCCTCCAAATTACATGGTGAAGCACCATTTCTATGGATACACTCGTCTATAATCATTTGTATTCTTGAGCACGACGTATCCCAATGGCGCAAATGCGGCGGTGCCAGTCGCCGGGTTGTGTCGCCTGGTTGGCGCGACGCACCGTACACTGCCCGTGCTCTCGTCTATGACTTGGCAGGGAGGGCTTTTGACAGACATCACCTCAAGCTGTGCAGGGTGAGTCATGGGCTGCTCCCCCATTTTGGCAGGGCTGTAGCCTGCGAATGTCACCACAGGGAATGCCGGCTGCTGTGGCACCATGGGCTGTGGTGGCACCATGGGTGGTACCATCGGCGGTGCCGCCGGCGGTGGCAAGATCCCTGATGGCATGGACATAGTAGGTGCCGGTGTCATAGGGGTCATGTGTCCCGTCGGCGGTAAAGCCGGTCCGAACTCTGACCCTTTCTCTTGACCTGCTGGGATCTGCAAAGACTCAAGTCGATGAGCCACTGTCCTTATGTTCTCCTGCAGACGGTCCATGGCCTCAAATAGCTGGTCCATCAGGTCCTTCATCTCCTTTCCTCTCTCAGACTTGATCTTAGCATTCCCTTTCAGGACCTCACTCAGGGACTTGTCTAAGGCCCACTCTAAGTGCCTTCTCAGCTTCTGGTACTCGCCGCAAACGGCTCCGACCCTTCCTGTATTGTAGCTGACTCCGGCTGTCAACGACTCCACCGCCCTAGACATGTTTGTCACGGCGGTGGCGACAGTTTCCAAACTGCGACATAGATCCTGTTGGGGCGTTTGGGAGTTGTTGATTAGTATCTCCAACTTCTCGCTGGAGTTCTTCAATGCCCCAGTCATCGAGGTAACACCTATGGCAAGGGTGGTGCAAGATGCCAAGATCTCTGCTGGATTGTTAGGATCTGGCTCGGGCACCCTCAGCCTGGGCGAACGGGATCGGTCTTCTTCTTTGTCTTCCCGGTCCATAGGCGACTTGCTACCTTCCTCTTGATGAGGGATGCCTTGGTCGCCTTTCTCGGATTCTGACTCCATAGTTGATGCCTGTCCAGGGACTGCCGGATTCTCAGTGATAGGAAACTCAGCTGGCGTCGATGCACTCGCCATAAAACTCTCAAGACGTCGACTGAGAGCTTGGTGTACCCGTTGCGAGAGACCTGGGCCAAGATACAGCTTGGGCATGCTACGCAACAACTCAGCCTATCAAAGAAAACAAGAATCCATCTCTCTCTCTC